TTAATTATGATTTGTTCAATAAAATAATATTACACGCAAATAAAAAAAATCCTTATTTTTGAACCACACATTCTCAATTAATCTTTTATTCCAAAATACATTCTCACCAAAAAAAATGGAGCTTAGACATGCACTCATTTTCAATGTCATTTCCAATTTCCCAAGCAATCATGCTACACATGCATTTTTTTAACATAGAGGTTGACATTATGCCATGCGACGACTTATAACTGGACAATTTTAGAAAAAATAATTTCTCGTTCAAATACTTTTTGAACTTCATGCCTTGTTTGATTCCTACTCTTCTCAAAATACATTTTTCTTTCTCTTCTTTTTAACCACACATTATTCATTAAAATAATATTACATGTAATTCAATAAAATTTTCTTATTTTTTAACCAAACATTTTTTATTAATCTATTATTCTAAAATATATTTTTTTCATAAAATTGGGGCTCAAACACCTCTCAAGTCTATTGTGAAAAACGGCCATACTTTTCATTTTTTGACATTTTTGCCCTCATTTCACCATTTCTTTGCGCTGGGCGTCCTTCCGTCAGTTTATCTATTAATTAAATACAAAAATGCCTTTTTCGTTCAATAAGCAAGGGTAAAATTGTCCTCACTCATCTAAACCCCTTCTTCCCGCCATCAACTTAATCCATAAGTAACAATAACAATAATGTGAATATGAAAATACTTTAAATGATTACATTAAATAAAGAAAAATGTCGTGAAAAACATTATATTTCACAATTCCACAACTACTGCTACTATAATGTTGGGTTACTGGAAAAATTTAGAAACACATAAATTGAATTGGCATAAAATTGGGGCTCAAACACCTCTCAAGTCTATTGTGAAAAACGGCCATACTTTTCATTTTTTGACATTTTTGCCCTCATTTCACCATTTCTTTGCGCTGGACGTCCTTCCGTCAGTTTATCTATTAATTAAATACAAAAATGCCTTTTTCGTTCAATAAGCAAGGGTAAAATTGTCCTCACTCATCTAAACCCCTTCTTCCCGCCATCAACTTAATCCATAAGTAACAATAACAATAACGTGAATATGAAAATACTTTAAATGATTACATTAAATAAAGAAAAATGTCGTGAACAACATTATATTTCACAATTCCACAACTACTGCTACTATAATGTTGGGTTACTGGAAAAATTTAGAAACACATAAATTGAATTGGTGGTCAATTTATAAAGATTAATATTGGATGTTCACTTCCATTTTATGCTTATTAAAGGTAAAACCCACCGAATAAATTGAGAAAAACGAGTGAAAATAGGTGTTGTAAAGTACGTGGTGCTACATTATATCTACAAACTGCGTTACACTACATGTGCACTGAATGAACAAAAACAAAAGCCAAAAAAATTAACAGGAGAACCTGGCTGGTAGCTTCATCCTAATGAGGTGCTGGAGGTGGTGCCCCATTGCAGCCTCTCCTATTGTGTCCTGCTTTACCACATTTTGTACAGGTCATTTTTTAGTTAACTTACAGTTGTTTCTGAAGTTGATTGCGAAGTTTTAGCATTACTCTTGGACTTTGTACACCTCTTCGACTGACTTGAAGAAGTCATCTCATTTGGCTCTTTTCTTCTATTTTCCTTTGGCCTCCCAGCCCTCTTTGTGTACACTAGTGGATTGAGAGGGTTCAAACTTGGGGTTGGCCATGCGTTCGGACCTGTGATGGGAAAAATTAACGGCGTATATGTCCTCATATATGCATCCTTCTTGTAGATATCATCCACGAACTCCATCACATTTAGACCTCTAGATACAATTGAGGCAATCACATGGCTACATGCAATTCCTGATAATAGCCAACCACGACATGTACAAGTTTTAGCCCTTAAATCCACAGCATGTAACACAGTTCCTGCATTGTGTCGGACTTGAAACTTTTCATTGCCTGCGTATTCAGCCCATTTCATCCTTGCAAGCTTACTATTTTTCTCCAAAATCTTCTGAATTCTAGGTCATACTACTGCTGTCCACCGATCACAGGACTCCCTATTGGCTAAAATTCTTCTCATCAAATATACGCTTATATCCTCTAGCATGGTTAATATCGGCTTCTCTCTTGCATCACAATTGTACTATTAAACGATTCACATAAATTGTTGAGAAGTATGTCACACTGATTCCACTCTCTAAAGTGGGATTTACTCCAATGAGAAGTTGGCTTTCCTTCAAGCCATCCATAAGCAGTCGAGTCCAAGTCCAACATCCGTTGCATGTGTTCAAGCCACTGTGATTTAGTAGTGGCTCTGGCTGCATCCCACAAACAATTCTTTAAAGCCAAACCCTTGTAAGAGAGGCTAAAATTGTTGTATAGATGTCCAACAAATGTCCTGTGCTCTGAATTTTCAAATAAGAACTCAATTGCATTAGTCAATCCCTTTTGCTTATCTGAAATGAATGTCCAATGCTGAATGTTGTGTATATGCAAATCATCCTTCAATAACCCCAAAAATCATCTCCAGTTATCCCCATTCTCAACTTCAACAACTGCATATGCCACTGGATATATACCATTATTAGTATCAACACCAACCGCAATCAACAACTGGCCACCAAGTTCTGTCTTCAAAAAGGAACCATCTACCCCAATCATCTTTCTACAACCCTGAACAAAACCATCTCTCAATGCTCCAAGGCAAATATACAGCCGCCTGAATTCTCCAACATACCCCTCAACAAAGCAGTGGTCCCAATATTTGTCCTCTTCAACTCCTCACAATAATCCCACGGCAATTTGTAATGCTCCACCACACTACCTCTAATTTTTTCAAGTACCTTTTCCTTTGATCTATACACTTGCCAAGGTGAGATATCACCTAAACCATCCCGCTTAACCCTCACCATGAATATAGTAACTGACATGTTTTGGTCAGCCCTCTAATAAGCTAAATACCTATCTGCCAAATAGGTTGATGTCACACTGAAATTCTTATACACCATAGGACAAGCACGCTCTTCTACAAAAGTTCTGATCACCCAAATGGTCTTGTTATACTCTCTAGTAGCATACAGAACCCATGAACAATCTCCTTGACACTTGGCTCTCAATCTGCAAGCATCATCCTTTTTAAACTTAATCTCTCTGTTATTTCTAACTGAATATTCGATGATTGCAACCTTTATAATGACCTTTGACTCAAATATCAAGCCTGTACAAACAAAAGAATCAATGCATATTATACCTTATTAAACTAAAGTACATAATCATGTTTAAAATAGAAGTAAAAAATATGTTTTCTAAACACTGAATCCTCCAGATCTGTCCCAACATGAAAGGTATCATTGAAAGCCCTCTTTCTTGAAATTGTATCGCCCTCTTCTTCATTATGAATGCTTCGTAAATCATCGGAGTCCCCATAGTCGGTATCCGAATTCCTAACCTGCCCATCGAATACACCAAATCTGAAATCAAAATTAACCCTTTCACTCCCAACTTCAGCAGTACCTACAGGCTCCTGCTTCATCTCATAATCCGATTCCACCAAACCTTCGACTTTATCTTCTCCTCTTGGTTCCTCATTTTGATCCTCCTCCACACTCAAATCACCCACATTTGTATCTTTCTCGTTCTGGTATTGTAAAGTTTCCTCATACTGTGACCACAACTCCTCAGCATTCTCTTGCAAAAATTGATCTGACCAATTTTCTTCATGCTCCCCTCCTTCGTTTTTTGCAACTGAAGGTATATAACAATCATCAAATGTTTGGTCTTCATCAACTTGTGAAGACCATTGCAATGCATATGATTTCATTCGGGCTACGATGTATATTTTCACATCTGCATGTCCATTCCTATCCCTAAGCATCCCATTAATATCATCTTCACTCTCCAATCTCATCAACCCCTTCCCTAAACTCATTTTTTGCTTCTTATAGTAAAATTCCAAAGCCCTTTCATCACAAGTTCCGTGTAAGAATTGACGCAAATTCTCTCCCTGCACCATTTATCATGAAAGAAGTCAACAAAAAGAACGAATCCCCCTTCATACGCCACATTATTTAGCTTATCATAAAATTGGCCTCCATAATGTATTTCAATAGTGAAATATTCAGAATTACCACCTGCAGGCAATAACATAAAGTTCACATCAAATGGAGAACATTGACTGCACGCTAAAGGAAAATATGCGCAGTGACAGAAAAAACACCGATTGCATGTGTTCAAGTAGACATAATTTTGGGGATTGCACAATGAAATTGTGTGAATGCACAATAGAATCGGATGAGTTCACACAAAATTTAGGGAAAGAACGCTATACCATAACTAGGTCGATCATCGCCGGGATTTCTCAAAAATGGAAGAAACATGTTGTTCTTCAAGGGTCTGCGTAACATCAATAAATGTCATCAAAACTCCATATAAACTCTCAATCATGCAAAGCACCAAACTACGAACTGGAAAACGAAATACCCAAAACGTTACATTCGCTCGTTGGAAAAATCCTCAATGCATGCTTCCACTACACGGACAGATCAAATGCGAGAATATGAACGACAAAGGGAGGAACGGTTGTAGAAATGGAAGAAAATGTGGGACGTTTCACGAGAAAATAGCAGAGGAATTGTCGCAAGCCTTTGAGGAGATGAAGGGGTTGGAAGAAGGGATTTAGGTGAGTGAGGACAATTTTACCCTTATTTATTGAAAGAAAAATGCATTTTTGTATTTAATTAATGGAGAAACTGACGGAATGTGGATGAAATGACGTCCAGCGCAAAGAAAATTTGAAATGAAGGCAAAAATACCAAAAAATAAAAGATAAGGACGTTTTTTACAATAAACTTAAAAGATGGAGACATTTTGTGCCAATTACCTAAAATGTTAACAAATATGTCGATCATGAGATATAAAATTATTTTTTCCCGACAAATATAAGTTCTCACTGTTTTTTACTTGGCTAACACTTTTCCAAATGTCATTTTCTTATTCGTTATTCCGTAGATCTCCCTTACCCATTAGATAGCTTGTCCGGATGCCTTTTGTACTTTGCATTACTTCGCAACGCCAAGAAAATTTGAACACGGTTCTTGAATCACTATTTTCTCTCTCAGCATTTCTGACAAAGAAGCAGAAGTATAGATATAGATAGAAGCAGATACAAACACAGAGAAGAATAACAATGGGAGGTAAAAGTTGGAGTTTGAAAGCAAAGCTATGTGATTCCTGCAAATCATCGCCGGCGAGTGTTTTTTGCCATGCCGACACGGCATTTTTGTGTCATGGCTGCGACGCCAGGGTGCACGACTCTGACGAGGTGGCGTCCCATCATGCTCGGGTGTTGGTTTGCGAAGTGTGCGAGCAAGCGCCCGCTATTGTCACCTGCAAGGCCGACGCGGCGGCTCTCTGCGCCACCTGTGACCGTGACATACACTGCGCTAATCCACTTGCCCGCCGCCACGAACGCCTCCCCATAGTATCCTTCTACAAGGCATCACAGGTTAACAACAATAACGAGAACAAATACTTCTCTGAAGACGAGGCCGAGGCCGCCTCCTGGCTCTTGCCAAATCCTCATACGAAAGGAGGAACCACAGAGGTCCAAGCCCTTAAAAGTTAATTATTGTTTTCATAGTTAAAACGGATGGAACTGTGATTTGATTTTACCCTTAACAGGATGATGATGCCGACTCGTCGAAATACAAGTCCAGCGAGTATTTGTTCAGCGACATGGATCCATACCTGGATCTTGATATAATTTCTGGAGAAAATATGAATGATCAAAAGAAGAGCCAGTACATTTCTGATGGGGTTGTGCCAGTGCAAAACAAGAATGATTTTCAGCAGAATCATTTTCAGGGTTCAGTTGTGGATGGATTTCCTACTTATGATATGGATTATAACACTGGATCCAAGCCCTTCATGTACAATTTCAGCTCCCAATCTGTCACTCAAAGTGTATGCTATTTAACCCAAATTCTTCATCTGTTTTTCACACACTCTCTATATTTTAACCTTTGTTGATGTTATAGTGCTGTGTAGCTAATTAAGTGGCTTTCACCATGTTTGACTAAGCTTAAAATTTACTTAATTGATATAAAATTTATTTGGACAAGCAACTTTTTTGAAAGCTGAAGTAAATCTGCGGTTTCTTAAGTTTTCTTGAGCATAGATCCATGATAGTTCATATGTTCACCTATTTTACAACACAGATGTTCCATTGGGGTGTAGCCTTTACAAGGTAATGAAGTCTTGCAATGGTTTTATGAAGTAGGGAACGGATCAGTTCTTGAGTGAGTTTTCTATCTCAAAAACGTGTTGGAGTATGTGAAACCTAATTGTAGTGCACACTTATCGACCTAATACTTTCTGGAGGTGTTTCTGGGTGCAAGCTCTGTGAGGAAAACTTGGTATTTTCTTTTATATTATAGTGAAAATCTGCGTGGCAAGTAGATGTAGCTTCAGTTGAAGATGAAGCTACATAAAATCTGTGTATGTTTGCCCTTTTTTTATTGTATTTTGTTTATTACTGCTTTCAGAACTAGGGATTAGAGCTTAACTCATTAGAAAGCAATCAAGGGAAATGATCCAAGAAAGGATAAGCCATTTTACTAGGAGCTAGCTCGAGCCCCATTTTTAGATTACAATGCATTTTGGAACAGTAAATCGATGAAAAACGTGTTGTTAAAAAAAAAATTTAATGTATGAGTTTGCGTGTGATATTATTCTTTTTGAAGAATGTGTAGTAGAAAAGAAGGAAAAAAAAATGTATTTTGAAAATAATGGAAATCAAACAAGGATTAAAATTTTTTGTCCATCTACTTGACGGATATAGTGTTAGCAGCAAATAATTGGGTCAAAAAATGACTGATTTTTAAACAATTCAACGACAGAATGAATGATTGTTCCAAGAAACCAAAACAAAACTAGATACTCTCATATTTTGCTGACAAATATATATGTTTTGCAAACAACAATGGCAGGTCTCATCATCATCTATGGAAGTGTGCATCGTACCGGACCCTGGTTCGATAACCGACGTATCCAACACTCTTGTGAAAAATGACGAGATCCCGAGCCCGGTTTCCGGGATCGACAGAGAAGCTAGGGTGTTGAGGTATAAAGAGAAGAGAAAGAACAGAAAATTTGAGAAGACAATACGATATGCATCAAGAAAAGCCTATGCTGAAACTAGACCTAGAATCAAAGGAAGATTTGCCAAGCGTTCAGAAAATGGGGTTGAATCACTCATGGTCCCAACTTTTTAATTGTAAGTTAATTAATTTTGGTGTTTTGATTAATCACTTGTTTCACAAGGGGATTATGATGGAAGTCTGTACATATATTTAGGTTATCTCATGTTGCTTGTTTGTTTGGTCGATGTATTTTTATTTTTGTATCTAATGTTGTAACAAAATAATATATTATTTGTGAAAATTATTCCTAAATTAATCGTGTTAGAATCATCTACGTATACAATCTAGTTTGATAATTTTGGTTGATAAAATCACATTATCCATTTCAAAAAATTGTGCGTTAAATTAATGGTCTGAATTTTGACAATATCAATATTATCCATCATTATTGTCAAGTATGATTGTACAAATAGTATAATTGAGCATTCCGAGAAATTTTATTTGGAAGGTGTTTTGATTTTTATTTTTCTCAAAATGCATTTTTCCTCTCTTTATTTTACCACATATTCTTCACTAACATAATATTACACGCAAATAAAAAAAAATCTTCTTTTTTAATCATACATTTTTCATCAATTTACCATTATAAAATACATTCTTTAAAAAGAATGTGGATCAAACACAATATTACACTTCATGTGACAAGATTGAAGAACATTGCCCACAAGAGGTCGATCGATGTATCTCAATTGGTACTAGTCTTTTTGATAGAGTGGTTAGCCATCTTATTTTCGACAGGGTTGAGGAGGAACTTAACCTTATTTGAATTAATGAGTTCATTTATTAAAGTAAGCGACTACACATTAGCCTCGGTTTGAGTTTCATTTTTCAATAATATTTTTTTTTTCAAACTCATTTTCAATTATATGTTCTTTTAATAAAATATTATTATATGTAAATTTAAAACTTTTTCGTGCTTTTTGCACACATTTTTAAAAAATTCATTGTTCCAAAATTTATTTTTATCAAATAATTGAGCTCGAGCAAGGGCTAAATTAAGATAATGTAAACTAAGCTGTTTTCTAAAACCTTAAATACTAAAGTAATGGTTGGTTTGTGTTTTCATTTTTGAAACGATTTTTAGTTTTCCTCGAAAACGGCCCGTTTTTCGCGTTTTAAGCGTTTTCGACATTTATAATTGAAAACGCTGAGAATGATAAAAAGTCGTTTTGCTTTTTCAGTTATAAATTTTAACTCGTTTTCGAAAATGCGTTTTCGAAAACAACGAACCAAACGCATTTTCCATAATTTCGAAAACTGAAAACGAAAAATAGATCGAAAATGGCAAACCAACTACGGCCTAATTATTTTGATAGCATGGCATTCATATGTCTCGGACGATACATTTTTGGGTGTAACAACGTGAGAGGTTACTTTTAGATAAGATTTTGTATTCGAGTAAGTAGTGTAAGACCGTTCACATTCCATTCACGTGGCCTGTACCTTAGTGGCACGCGGTCCACGCGACCTTGTCAAAAATAATGGCCCTTGATCGAAACTGGAAGGGGTGCTTCGGGGTTTAGAAAGAAATTATTGGTTTTTTGTCGTAAACGGTCAAATCATGGGTATTTTTGGTATTTAACTTTCCCAAAATATTTTCCAAAAGACATTTAAGAAAATAAAAATGGATAAAGATTGCCACTTTAACTGCCATGAATCATACAGGTGCTGTCGGTATGGTTGTGTGTGTGTTTCTCGCCAAACCAATGAAAAAAGAGTTATGTTGCTTGGACAGGATTTGGGACAGGTGCTGTCCGTTGGTGGCACTTGTGTGGTTCCTTTTTTTTTTTTTTTTTAAACTGTTCAATAAAATGTTGACACATGTTTTTTTATTTTTAAATCTTGCCATCAACCCTATTTGTGTAGCATAACTTATGAAAAAATACCAATTATCCCCAATAAAAGCCTAGCAATTTTTCGCTATACAAGTAGCATGGCTAAAAAATTATTCTAATGAAAAGTTGTACTTATTCACTGAACATACATACGATCCTATTAAGCCTCTATTTATTTTTCATTTTTTTCCATTAAAATAAAAAATATGATCGTTACTCATCACATCAAACCATCAAATTTGAATTTCTATCTCTTGTGTGGGTCCATAATGATTATATTTTTTATTCTCATTTTTATAAAAATAGAAAACAAACGCCCCCTAAAATATTCTTAATGCACAAACTTGTGGAATTTATTAAAAATTAGATGGTGTTAATTAAATAGGTTAATATCACAATAATATATAATTATTTGTTATAATTACGTACTAATCACACATCACAAAATTTCACAATCACAAAGACCTAAAATTTAGGTCAAAATTACTAATTTAATTAATAATCACACATTTTTTATAGGCCGTATCTTATTTATCGATTACTAATTATTAAATTAATTATTGAATAAAATTATCAAATTTATTGATCACAACTTATTTCTTGATCCCAAATTATCAAGGGGTAATTATATTACCACCACAAAATTTGCTTACTACACCACATTATATTTACACCACAATTAAAATATACTTTTAATAAATACACGACAATAAATTACACTTGTACTCCTAATTCAATAAAACTAAAAATGAAAAAGAAAATACAATATTGTGATATACACATCATCCCAACATTACATCTCATTTTTCATCTACAAAAACCAACATCCCTTTTATGCCACCAGTTTTTCTAGATATATTAATGCAAAAATTGAAAACCGTGGAAACTGCAATTCAATCGCATTTCGTTCATGGGATTTCTTCTCCATTTTGGCGGAGTACAAGCTACGTTTGATGTTTTAAATACTTCTACATATAGTCTCAGATGATTATTATTTTTGTTGAGTTGGTTCGGTCATGGAAAACTCTTACCCATATTTTGGTGGGGTTAACCCGGTTGGCATGTATTGTGTATTTTAGTTTCGCAAGTGTACGAACTGTAACAAGTAATAGTGGACCTAAGAGTCCAGATTGTCGATCCCACAAGGGCTATTTTCTAACACTTAATTCAATTTTCCTTTAACTACTATTTGATGAAAACAATTCAAAAGTTATAATGATTTGAATTTAAATCTTAATTCTAGACAATAAATAAAAGCTCACATCAAAAACTTGTATGATCAAATAATTAGAGGACGTTAGGGTATAATAATTTCACCTATTGATCACCTTTACATCTCAAATTAAGACTCGATTCTATTGTAGTGCTCAGTCGAATTCTCATATTGTATTCAATTTACCCCTCTCGAGTTCTCATTGAACTTATTCAACTAATTAAATTACATATCTCTATACAAATTTAACTGAGTTAAACGAGTTCTTTGTCCTAAGAATTCAATTATGACCGCAATAAATGGCATAAGTATCTCTACACGTTATATCAATTTACTAAATTTTATTACATGGTCTAAATCCTAAACTCATATCTCTATTTGTAGATAATTCACATAATTCATCAAATTACTGATCAGATAATTTAATGCAATCAATCATAGCAAGAATCAACACATGGAAAAATTAAAAACGAAGAATCTTAATAAGAAAATATAAAGAATATCAAATGGATTACATTATTCGTCCTAACAATGGATTTACCTACTTATAATAAAAGAAGAGCAACAACAAATTGTCTTAGAGTACATCATCGGATTTTTAATAAGAATATGTAGAAGAAAAAGTGGGTCTTGCACAAAAAAATCCTCATTCTTCCAATTTATACTTCACACGATGAATTTGGCGTTGTCTTCTCCCTTTGAATCTCTCCCCCTTTCTCTCAAGAAGTGTCTTTGCCTCTAGAATCTGTAAAACCCCTTAAAGTGTGAGAATTTTCATATTTATAGGTCCCCTGCCATGTATGAAGAATAGGGTTTTCATATGGACTTCAAAATGGGCCGAAATTCCACTTAGGTTACGGATTTGTGGCGCCGCGTCAAAAAAATAGGTGGTGGAGTTGCAGGGCCATAAGATGGCACTGCGGCGCCACCTCTCTGAATCTCCCGGCGCCACAGCGCCCTGAAGTGGTGTTGCGGCGCCACTTTTCAAACAGACAACACGCACATCTTCCAGTATTTTTAGCATAAGTTTCTCTCCTGATGTCCAATTGAGGCGATTCAAGATGCGTTGGAAAGATAAGTCAAAGGGATACAACTTTACTTCAGACATCATTCTCCAATTCGATTGTTTGCTATGTCAAAAATGGTCTCAATATGAGACTGAAATTTCAAAGCATAACTTTTCGGTTGGAAATTGATTTATGATCATATTTTGCATAAATTTGATCCCTTTGACATCTTTTTTCATCCAATTGACTCCGAGCACTCTTAAATTTTCATCATGAGGTCCAGCACAACTTTGGAGTATTTACACTTTAGTCCCTGAACTTTGGATCTCTTATAACTTAGCCCCTTTTCTCCAATTTTGTCCACTTTTGCTTCTTCCTTCAATTCCTTGTACCATCATTGAATTTTACCTATTCAACACAAAATATAATAATTTAGACCATAATTCATTCGAGAAGCAACTAAAATACACTTATCAGCATGCAACTGGGCTTTTGCAACCATGGCTGTGTCCCATTCTCTTTGCCTGTTGTATTTTCAAATTTGAGCCTCACACATTATTTTTTTTCCTAACAATTTTCAAGATTTGCTTACGCTATAGTGAAAAATATTAAATGCAGTTAGTTAACTCAAAGACAACATCAATTACTACCCGTGACATCAGTTTTAATCATATATTTGTACAACTGATTAAAAATAAATTAACTAATAAAAGATTATGTAGATTAGAAATAATTGATATAGGATTAGTTAATAATATTAACTCATTAATTTGATGAAATTTGGGAAAGAGATGATATAGAAGAAAGAAAAAAAATTAGATTTATGATTGTGATGGATCAATGAATTATCTTATGGGATAAATATATAAAAAATATGTTAATTTAATGATTGTGTTGTCAATGAAAATTGTTTAATGTTAAGAAAGTAAATTTAAAAGTATGGTTGATTACGTAATTTTATTAAGGACCATTTAAGTAAACAATAAAATTGTGGTGTATCAAGTAAATTTTGAGGTGGTAATATAACTACCCATTATCAAATTAACTTATTACAATTTTCCAATTAAATGGTCACAAATTACCCATCAAATTCTCCACCCTACCCTTCCACCACCACTGACACCACCCAATACGTCTCGTTGCTTCAAATGCACAACCCGCCATTACCACTCATCCTACACCACAACTACAACCTTCAATG